TTAGACTCAGAATATGGTCTAAAACATTTAAAAGACCAAGCAGAAGAATTTATAAGATTCAATGATAATAAAGAAGTTTCTAATAGTACTCTTTGGTGCACATACAAATGTTTTATGAGGGGAAAGCTTATAAAAATTGGAGCAAAATTGAAAAAAGATCAGGGGAAAAACCTAACGGATCTCTATATAGAATTAGCCATATTAGAAAATATTAATAAAAATGATTTTAATATATTAAGATTAAACAAAATTAAAGAAATACAAACTCAAATTAAAACCGATTTATCAAACAAAGTAAACAATACAATTATAAGTTTAAAACAACAGTGGTATTTTGGAGAAAATAGAACGAGTAAAAAAATTTCTAATAAATTAAAATTTCAAAAAGACAACAAAAGATTACAAAGATAAAATATAATAATAAAGATTATTTATTATCACCAACTGACATAGGGGAAGTATTTGGTCAATATTATGAATCATTATATAACCTCTCAAAGACCCCATTAACTATCGAAGATATAGATACCTTCCTATTCAACTGTAATTTACCAAAAATAAATGTAGAACAGACTAAAGATTTAGACTCTCCCATATCCATAACAGAGATTAGCCAGGCTATAAAAACACTCCGTAAAGGGAAAGCTCCTGGACCAGATGGTCTCACTGATGCCTTTTACAAAACATTCCTCACTCCTATCTCTTCTCTTTTGTTTAAAGTCTATAATGAAATGAGGGACCAGAAATATTTCCCTAAGGAAATGCTACAAAATATGATTATACCTATTCTAAAACAAGAGAAAGATCTGCATTTTGTATCGAATTACAGACCTATATCGTTATTAAACATTGATATAAAGATCTTCTCAAGGATACTAGCTGATAGAATAAAAAACATTGTTCCGTCCTTAATTCACCCAGATCAAGCTGGATTTATAATGGGTAGAAAAGGAGCCCATAATGTACGCAGGCTTTTAAATCTAATTCAAGTAATAGAGAATAATAAGAAGATCCCATCACTATTTGTGGCTTTGGATGCAGAGAAGGCCTTCGACAGGATGTTCCTCTCGAGGGTCCTTAAAGCATTTGGCTTCCAAGATTTTATATATGATTCAATTTGGTCTCTCTATATGAATCCTACGGCCAGGGTCATGGGTAGGGGTATCTCATCCGAGTGGTTTGATGTAAATAATAGGACACGCCAGAGATGTCCCTTGGTGCCATTGCTATATGCCTTAACTATAGAACCAAAAATAAATAAGGTTCTATATAGCATGTATAATAAGGATAAAATGAAATTTATACTGAAGTGGGAAAATGATATTGGAAGGGAATTTTCATTAGATCAATGGAAGGAATCATTTGATTTGCTTAAAAAAGCGATACATTGTATAACTTTATATGAACTACAGATTAAATTGGTTCATAGGTGGTATATGGTCCCAGCGAGAGTTGCAAGATTCCACCACCCTACAGACTCAGTCACGAGGGAACTCTGAAACATATTTGGTGGGATTGTTATATTCTTGACTCGTTAAAGCAAGCGACATCTACAAAAATCAAGAATATTTTTTTTAAAAAAAACAATGAACCTCTCTCCACAATTATTTTTGTTACATATGAATATTCCTACTAAAAGTAAACTTATAAAATATTAAATTATTCATATATTAACCCCTTAAGACCGGAGGGCGTACAATTACGCCCTATTTTAGGCAGCTCTAAACGCCGCCGGGCATAATTGTACGCCCTCCGGTCTTTCTTTACTTACCCGGTCACCGGCGGTCCCACGCCGGAGATCGCGGTGGGGGGGACTCCCAGGGAGCCCCCCCGCGGCAGATCCTACTCCACTGGTGCCCCCCGGCCATGTGAGAGTGAGGTCCTTGCGGGTCCTCATAATCACATGGCCGGGTAGGCTGCCTCCTGCATTGCCAGCAGGGGGGCTACCTGTAATGACAGGTGGTCCCCCTGCTGGCTGAAAATAAAAATAAAATAAATTAATTAAGTGTAAAAAAAATATATATATATACTTAGATCATATATATTGTATATATATGATCTAAGTATAAATATACACATATACATACACAGACATACACTGTCTAGGGGTATTTTACTATTAATATATATTTATATAATTATATATATATATATATATTAATATCAAATTACACGTAGACTGATACTGATTAAATATATATATATATAATTATTGTTATATATATATTTATATATAATATAAAAAATGTAATATGTAAATACGTTAAAAAATAAAATTAAAAAAATTATTTAAAAAAATTATAAAAAAATATATAGTTACAGCGTCAAATATAAGGCTTGCGTTTCATTTTTTTTTCACATTAAAATTCGCCAGATTGGTTACGGTGCCTTTGAGACCCTGTGGTAACCCAAGAATGAAAATTACTCCTATGATGGCATACCATTTGCAATAGTAGACAACCCAAGGTATTGCAAACGGGGTATGATCAGTCTTTTTTAGTAGCCACTTAGTCACAAACACTGGCCAAAATTGGCGTTTTTTGCATTTTTCACACAAACAAATACTAACGCTAGCTTTGGCCAGTGTTTGTGACCAAATGGCTACTAAAAAAGATTGGACATACCCCATTTGCAATACCTTGGGTTGTCTACTATTGCAAATGGTATGCCATTGTGGGTGTAAATTTCATTCCTGGGCTACTATAAAGTCCCAAAGGCAATGTAACCAATCTGGCGAATTTCAATTTCAAATGTAACGTGTTATATTTGACCCTGTAACTTTCCAAAACGCCATAAAACCTGTACATAGGGGGTACTGTTTTACACATGAGACTTTGCTGAATACAAATATGTGTATTTTATTGCAGTAAAAGCAAACAGTATTATGACATTGACAGTTACAATGTCATGTAGAACTAAAAAAATCAAAAAGGCATTTATTTTCTCCCATTTTTTTCATATTAAATTATGTTTCATAGCTAAATATTTGATATTAAATGAAAGCCCTGTTTCCCCTGAATAAAATGATATATAATAAGGGTGGGTGTATTTACTATGAAAGAGTTGAATTACGGTTGGGCAGACATGTAGCGCAAATGCCAGGTTTTGTTTACATTTTGTTTCGTTCACAACGTGTACATTTGGCTCCGTCCTTAAGGGGTTAATGGCGGTTAAAATTTGCATCGCCAGATATTGGAAAACAGTAAATATCCCCTCATGGAGAGAGGTGGAATTTCAAATAGGATATCAGCAATTAATGGAGAAACAGGTATATAGAAATCTCAATATGACAAATATACACACCAAGATATGGGAACCCTGGACAACCGAGACATCCACTAACCAATAATGTAGAGCATAAAAAATAAAACTGGTCCTTAAAGTTAGAAACTTTCATCAGATATTGTCTAATGGCTTTGGTGCACTGTTTCAATGAGTAGATTGTCTTGTATGTTTTATATGTTTAGTTTTATAAGGCATGACTATGGGGGAACCAAGGTCTCAACATATTTGCTCATATAGATTACAATGGTACGTTCAGTTGGATATTGATACCCTATAGCCGGTCTTACGTCTAATAAAAATAAAATCTTTTTCTTTTTTTTTTTTTAGAGACTCCATTATATATAATAACATATGATGAATTGGTATTTATTTTATTATTAAAAGACAATGGCACAAACTTATGAGATAAATACCCTTCTGATGTTTAAAAAAACAAAAAAGAAGAAAAAAACAACAACAAAAAAACATACACTTATAAAAATATTAGCAGGTGTACAAAAGGCCCTGTCATCACTTGCTGCTCCAGCTTGGCACAGGTCAGAGTATTTTGGCGGTTGCCATCTTCAAAGGTCGTATTTTAAAAACTATAAATCCTACAATGAAGAGCTTTATATTGTGAGAATCACAAGACCCAGACCTACATTTTGATGCATAGTGTGTCTCTGAAATATTACAAATGAAGGCACAGTCGCAGTTTAGAAATTGCCCTTCGAATTTGAGCTGGCTAGAGTGGGGTTTCAATGAATGTCAATGGATGACATGAATTGCAAACAAATGGTCATATTGTGAAAACTATCAGGACTATGTTTAGTGGCAGCAGGGATAGCTGAACGTTTTGATATAAGATTTGTGTAGGTTGGCTTGAAAATGAGGGAGTGGTGGCAGTTTAGAAATCATGTCCTGATTTTTCAGCTTTTGCCAGCTCCCACACTAGTTTTGAACATTTTGCCATTCATTCCTATGGGACAAAATTTGCCACAAGAACGACGATATTCCGTGAACCATTCGGCGAAACGTTCCACAAAGTAATAGCACCCCAATCTGGAACAATCCGCACATTTCGCTATATTACTGTCTATGTAGTGTAAAAACTGTGGGAGGAGCTATTATTTGGCTATAATAATAAGAATAATAATATAAATGTGAGATAACATTAAGTGGTCTTGCTATGCAAGAACACTTAAATATAAAAAATGGTTATGACAAGCATAGTGTTTCAAGACATTTTAAAGAAAAACATAATTGTGATCCACAGTTCCTGGAATTTTTAGCTATTCGAAAGGATAAATCAAATTGGAGAGGTGATAATATTATACAGAATTTGGGTAGGCGTGAAATGAGATGGATTTTTAATTTAAACACTTTCATTCCTACGGGTCTTAATGAGGATTTTGAGTTGTGTCAGTTTTTATAATTTATGTTTTTAATAGATCTATATGTTTTTACCATTTGGATATGTTATTGTCATTTTTTAAATAAAGTTGAGTCTTTTAGAGCAATGTAATTGATTTTAATACTATTTTTATTTATAAATGTTTAGTATGATACATTCTTCTTATATCCCCTTCATCTTCTCTTCTCTTTTATATACGCTTGGATCGATAAATCTTCTGATATCGTAACAACCGGAAATGAGGTTGTGTTTACTTAAAGAGGAGGAATAAAGGTAATGTAGTTCTGGGGAGCGCCAGCCGGAGGTGACGTCTGCGCCGTCGCGTCACTTCCGGTTGACGAACCCGGAAGTAAAGACGCTTATACTATGTAAATGAAGAACAGCTGAAAGGAAGCCCCAGGAAAGGCCAGGGATGAGGAAAGGAAGAGTTTCAACGCATTTAAAATGGAGCCGGGAATCAGGAGAACGATACCAATTGAGAAAGCCTACATAAGCAGCGAAATGCATCTTGGACTCAGAGGAGGACTAAAGAAGGACTTTTTATATTTATATTTTCTGTTTTATATACTTTTGTTTTATAATTAAAAGTCTTATCTTGGATAAGTTCCCTATCTATTCCTGATTTTTTCCGGTTCCTGAAAGGGTAGTGTCACCCTATAATTTGGCACTAAGTGGATATTTTATCAAACAGGCTCCTAATAAAGTGAGCAATTCATTCATTTATTCCTTTTCATAATCTGTAAAAAAAAAAACAGTTCCACCTAGATTGTTGTGTTCTCTGTTTTATCTCCATATTGACTACGGGGAGTGAATACATTAAAGAAGGTCTTCTGGTGCACCTGAAAATCCAGATCCACTCTCTGTTCTGAGCCGATAACGAAAAAGGCTCAGTAAAATGTGTGTTTATGTATACACGCACTCAAATTTAAAGGTTATTTTTCAAAACAGTATTATACTATTATATTTTCTTTATCTCTCTCTATACATGTGAGAATATCCCCTACCAATGTACTAAAGGGTAAGTGAAACTAAGAAAGTGCTGCACCTTGGGACTCTGCATGTTGGGTCGTGGGATTTTCACCTAAACCTCTGAGTCCATTTTCTTGTTTTCCTTCCTTGATTCTAACTAGATTGTAAGTGCTCCTTAAATCTAAGAGTTATAAACCGGTGTAAGTGACCTATAAGTGGAGCGCTAAAACAAATTGAGTAAATGGGGAATAAACGTACCACACGTTACTTGGTTAAAAGTTTGGTGTGAAGTACATATAAAAGAACAAAAAACAAAGGGTACAAAGTAGTGCAGATGGTACTTAAAATAGAATCCAGTATATAATATTGCAATCAGGACTCTCACATTTAAAGGAGCCTGTGTGTGAATACTGTCTCCGTAATCAAGCTGATGTGCTTTTATGGCAGCACCGCTTCGTTGTGGAATGATTATCATGAATAAAACATAAGAGAAACAAACCAATGTGTAGCCTGTTAAAATCGAAGGTGGAAATGTAAACAATGAATAGGGTGCTCACCTTGTTCTGAGCCCAGTGGTCCCGGCTCTTAGGTGTGCAGGTATTGTGCCAATTTGGGTGGGGATGGCACTACCCCAGTGGTAAACTCATAAGTTCCTTTGGCTTCCAATATCATTTCTATGCTAATGACACGCAAATCTATCTGTCCTCTCCTGATCTCTCCCCATCCCTCTTGACTGCCTCTCTGCTATTTCTAACTGGTTGGCTGCCCACTTCCTTAAACTCAACTTGACCAAAACTGAAATTCTGGTCTTTCCTCCCTCAAGTGTTGCTACTACTGTGTCTGTCTCCCTCCAAGTCAACAGTGCTACAGTCAGCTCCACCACGCATGCTCGCTGCCAAGGCGTTCTCTTTGACTCCGACCTCTCCTTCACGCCTCATGTTCAGTCTATCGCCAAATCCTGCTGCTTCCATCTCAAAAACATTGCGCGCGTCTGACCCTACTTAACGCCAGATGTGACTAAAGTGCTGGCCCACACTGTCCTTTCTCGCCTTGACTATTGTAATCCGCTTCTCAGTGGTCTTACATGCTCCCAACTTCGCCGTTACAGTCCATAATGAATGCGGGGGCGTGGCTCATCTTCCTGTCTGCCTGCATCTCCCACGCCTCACCCTTCTGTCAGTCCCTACATTGGCTTCCTGTAAGATATAGGGCTCAATTTAAAATTCTGGTTCTTGCTTTCAAATCTCTACATAATGCTGCTCCTACCTATCTATCCTCCCTAATACACAAGTATGTCCCGTCTAGGACCTTACGCTCTGCTGAAGACTTACGTCTGTCTTCTGTCTGTACTCCCACCTCTGATGCTCGCCTTCAAGACTTTTCGAGGGCTGCCCCACTCCTGTGGATCTCACTTTCCTCCTCCGTTAGATGCTCACCCAGTCTGCACACCTTCGAAAAAATCATTCAAATCCCACTTCTTCATAAAAGCGTATCAAATAAACTGTTAATAGCTCCCGACTGATTACTCACTTGCAACTGTGATTAGTCTAATACTATCCTTACCTTTTATGTCACTTTACCCCACTCCCTCTAGCATGTAAGCTCATTGAGCAGGGCCCGCAACCCCTCTGTTCCTGTGTGTCCAACTTGTCTGGTTACAACTACATGTTTGTCCGTCCATCCACTGTAAAGCGCTGCGGAAATTATTGGCGCTATATAAATAATAACATAGTAATAACATAATAATAATAATTAGCCACTGCTAGTATAGTGCCTGGAGACAGCTTTCCAGTGATCTTTGATAGTCTTGTCCAAAAATGCATTTATCAACAGCTATTTGTTATTGATATTTTCAGTTATTTAATGAGGGTTATGTCCTTGATAAATGGCATTACATTGTTGATTACTAAACTGAGAATTTAAAATAAATTCTAAATTATTTTTACATTCAAGGTAGCTGTACTGAAGGCATTTTTGTTGATTTTTCCAGTTCAGGTCTTTTGACGTTGATTAGAAATTCTCTTTGAATTCTCACTTTACTAAATAACTATGTTAGCAAAGGACAAAACCGCAATTGGTTTATTGAGGAAATCACAGGATAAGAATAACAAAGAGGAATAGGGACAAGTGTTGCCAAGAACTGTGAACCACATAGGTGGTTTATGGGAGTGGAAGAGCAGCCAGTTTGACCTGGTCTGGAAGCTCTCCCTGGAACATTGGGACAATGCCCTGCTAGCAAAATAACAATTTAGGGATATGGGAGGAAAAGGAAACCAAAAATGGAAACTCGGTACAATTAATTAAAGTCCAGCCACACAAGTTGGAATGTCCCAACCATTTTAAACCTGATGGCTAATGATAGTATCTTGGGTCAGGACAGCAAAGTGCAGTTTCAGTCACTTTTCCATAAGCCATAATTTTTTTGTTTTTTTGGGGTGATGTGATATTGCAGTGCAGTTCCATAGGGAACTCCTACACAGGTAGGGAGGCTTAACTTATAGCTTGCTTCTTTTATTTTGTATTTTTGTAGGAAAACAATCATGCTGAATAGTGCATTAAGCACTAAATATTATCTTTTGGTCTCTACAGATTGCACTACTGTAACCTTACTTCTGCTTGTTGTGAAGATCTGTCCATGGTACTGACAAAAAATCGATTACAGACTAAGTTGAAACTGGTCTCTAATAAACTGTGTGATGCAGGAGTAAAACATCTCTGTGAGGGACTGAGACACCCAAATTGTACCCTTAAAGAGCTGACGTAAGTGTATAGTTTTACTTTATTAGGTGGGAAAGCTAAATAATAGCTGAAAATGTTTAACATAATTTTATAAAGCCCAGAGAGGCCATTTTTTTTTCTTGAGAATTATTTTTTTTATGCTTGTTCTCTCTGGGCATTTGTATAATGTTCCTTGGAATTACATTTCTGAATTTGTGTAACTTACGCAATTGTAATATAAATGGAACGTCTCAACAGGCATCAAGCTGGCACTGCATTTTAATCCCTAGTTTAGGCTTCAGTTCAAAGTTCTCATGAAACCCAAGCAACATGGATGATGCTGCTTCATATCTAGTTAGATATGGCTTGTACAAAAATCAAGGATTTAACCACTTAAAAGATTTTGATCAGGTAGATCTCCTTGAATGACCAGCACTAGGCTGCGCATGGTAGACTTTGGCAATTGTTTTTGAAACAATTTGTATTTAGCCAAAAATCGTTTGCTCAGAATGAATGAACAAATGTGCAACAAATTATATTCCTCCATGCAGTAGTCGTCCATTCATCAGTTCAGATGGTGTGATCAGAGCTTGCATCACACAAATCAGAGGGAAAGTGAGAGTGAGCTCAATTCCTCTGGCAAACCAGCTCACTCCTATGACATAATCTAAAAGGGGCTTGGTCAATGGTATGTGTTGCATTTCTAGTTTTTTTGTTTTTGCTTTTTTGTTTGTTTGCTTTTTAACCCCTTAAGGACTGAGCCAAATGTAAACATTCAACCATAATTCACCTCTTTCATATTAAGTGCACCCACACTCAGGGGCGGGCTGGGCCAGGGGGCAGGGAGGCAATTGCCCCCCAGGCCGCCCTAAATTCTGTTGGGACCGGCCGCTGCATGGCCGGCCCTTTAAATGCTGCAGCCGCCTGAGCACTCTGTTAAGATCCTCAGGCGGCGGCGGCTGAGGCTGCTCTTCCCTCCCTTCCCTGTAGCGTGGCCGAGCTGCTCTGCTGTCCGCAGTGCCCGGCCGGACTGATAGGAAGGCGCACGCTGAGTGTGCACTTCCTGTCAGTCCGGCCACTTACAGGAAACAGAAACTCCTGTTCCGCGCGGAGTTTCTGTTTCCTGTAACCGGCCGGAGTGACAGGAAGTGCACACTCAGCATGCGCCTTCCTATCAGTCCGGCCGGGCACCGCGGACAGCAGAACTGCTCGGCCATGCTACAGGGAAGGGCAGGGG